ACCGCCAGGCCCCCAAGTTTTGGAATGTCCCTGTGACTGTGTAGGCGAGGTATTCTGCTGGCAGGGCTCTCATGACCACGGGTACGCTGACTTTGCAAAGCCCAAAGAGAGAAAATCTTTGGGTTTTCTTCTCTTTCCCTCCCTCCCCTTCTCTGTCCCTCCCTCTTTCTTCTAACTCACCCCTCCTGCCCCCTTTTTTTTTATAGAAAAAGTTGCCTGTCCAGCACAAACTTTGTCTTTGGAATGGCCCTGGAGGACATTCCGAGAGATGAATAATGAAGTCAGTAGGGTTATCTTTCTGGGGAAATGGGGCTGTTGCTACATCAGTATGGAGGAGCCCAGCCCGGAGCAGTGTGGGTTGTTTGTTTAGCGGAGAAGGGGGGGGTTGAGAAGAACGTGAGCACACCCGCATATACACAGTGTCCACTTTGGCATCCGTTTACTTTTCAGGGGTTGGATTGAGATCAGCTTCTTCTGCCACAGGGTTGCTGAGATAGCTTTATTTATCTGGGCATTCTGATTGAGTTGGGGAGATAGTGCCACTAAGACAGACAAAAGGTCCAAGTTGGAAGGGGCCTCACTTAGAATGGAGAATGATAGAGCTGGAAGGGACCCTTAAATGCCACTAGATTATTCCTTTCAATTTTGCACCTTGGAAAATAATTCAATAGAGAAGTGACTTAGCCTATTTCAGAACTCAGCCTTAAACCCCTACCTGAAGCTCTTTGAGGTTAATCAATTAGTAAGAATTTATTATTTATTTGTTATGTGTCCTGTGTGTCCCAGGCACATTTGGCAGGCTCTGGAGACAAACAGAAAACAAAGCCAGCGCTGCTCTCAACCCATACATATAAATGTATACAAAATACAGAGTAAATACAAATAAATTTCAAGAGCAGGAGAATGCACAAAAAGCTAGGGAAGCCAGGGAAATAATAATAACAACATTGGTAAACCAATAATTATTATATTGTTGTTATCAATTATAGTAGTGCTGAGGATGGGGAACTACGGCCTTGAGGCTACATGTGTCCTTGAAGCTTCAGCTTCCCCACACTTGGACTATAGCCTATATCATAGTATATGAATAATTTACAATAGTAACTACAGGAATCTTATTAATAATAATGGATTACATTTATATCATGCTTACAATGTGCCAGGCACTGTGTTAAGCCTCACAACCCTGGGAGGTTGATGCTATTATGATCCCCATTTTGCAGATGAGGAAACTGAAGCAAAAAAGTTTTGCATTTAGATATCCAAAAATGGAATGAGCTGCTCCAAAAGGTAGAGCTCTTGAAAAAGCTGAATAATTCCCTGTCTTGGACAGTCAATTCAGTGCACATTTTATTAAGGATCTACAAAGTGTATGTAGGACTTTGTGTTGACATGTGGTTCCTAATTTCATAGAGCTTAGAGTCTAGGGAGGCAGGGCAGAGATTAGGGAAGAGGACAGTAGCCCCCTTAATAACTGAGGGATTTCTGGAGTAGAATTTGAACTGAGTTTTGAAGAATGGGCAGGATTCTAAGAGGCAGAAATTGAGAATTCTGCACATTATAAGCCTGGATGAGCAAAGCCATGGAAGTGGGGGCAGTGAATGCAGTAAATGAAGGGGGGGAGTAGCTTGAGACACAGCTTGAAAGGTAGTATGGTGCCTTGCAGGGCCTTGAATGCCAGTGTCAGAGGTTTAACTTTTGGTGGGGAGGCAGTGGGGTAAGACAAGAAACATTTTAAATGCTCACTGTGTGCCAGGAACTGTGTTAAACACTAGGAATACAAATACAAGGGAAAAAAGGTTGACCTTTGCCCTCAGGGAGCTTACATTCTAACTGGAGAGACAATGTAGGGAGCTGAGGGGAAAGGTTTGAGGTGCCTGCCCAGAAACGTGGCGGCAAGGTGCAGAAAGTCAGAAGCACAGCCAGGAGGGTAATGAAGCTTGGTTGATGGGCATATCTCCAAAATGGAGGTCCCAGGAAGGAACTCACCTATGGGAGAAGGCCAGCATGGGGAGGGAAGTTCCAGGGTTAAAGTAGTTGAGGGAAGAGTCTAGAGGGGGAATATGGAGGAGGATGGTGCTAAGATGTGCAGTTCAGTAACAGGGAGGTCCATGTGGAACATCTGAAGACCTAATTTGTCATTTATTAGCTGTCGTATTCTAAGCAAGCACTTTCGCCAACTTGCGTGGCTTTTTTTCCCCTCACTTATAAAATAAAGTCATTGCTTATAGCTCCTTAACCTTATATTTATTCAATTTGCTTCTGACTTGAGCTCTTGCTTTTTTTCCCCTCTCAAAACCTGCAGAGGAAAAAGAATAATAAGACATTCATTTGTCCCACTATGTAAGGAATCCTGCCTTTCTGGGGGTGGGGAGAGGATGAGTGTAGGCGGGAAAAAATTCACAGCAATTGACAACAAAAATATTTTCCTTTTTCCCCATGCAGCCCTCTCCCTCACTGGCCTGGGGTTAGTTTCCAGCAGAACCCAGCCTCTGTGGGCATCGGTGGTGGCGTGGTAGCAAGAGCCTTCGCTGTAATACAGGAGGTTTGATTTCTAGACCAGCCACTGCCCCCTTGCTCAGCTATGCGACTTTGGGTTTCTGTTGCTGTTGCTGGGTTGTTTTTTTTTTTCCAATTTTAACATGAGTTCATTGAATTAGATGATCTCTGAGGACCCTCCCAGCTTTGACCTTCTGTGTTCCTTGTTTCTAATCTGATGGCTCATGGTGGGGAGGGATGGTCAGGAACTGTTGGGAAGTCAATCCTAGGGTTTTTCAGTGTTTGTCTCTGTCTCCCACTGGGAGACTGGCTGCTGGCTCTCCCTCAGACACTCCAACCAAAAGACCTGTGGCCATAAATACTGAAAATGCCTATTGTTTCACAGCTGGTATCCTCAGCTCCAGATAGGGCTGGCTCCCCACTGTGGGGCAGATATGGTATTTAGACTTGCCTCAATCCTTAGGATACCTTCTTCCTCTTTTGTTTTTTGCTTTTTAGCTCAGGTAGTTCATAACCTGGGGTCTGCTGTCTCTTGGGGCCTGTGCATAGATTTCATGGAGTATACAAACCTGAATGGGAAACACACACTCTCTCTTGCCTTCTGTCTCTGTCTTTGTCTCTCTTTCTGTGCATATGCATATATAGTCTGGGTTTTTTGTCATCTATAGATGTACATATATATTATAAAAAGAGAGTTTTCATTTTCACCAATCTCTAACTGAAGTTTAGCATATCCTTCAGTTATTTAAAGGGAAGAGGTCCATGGGCTTCAGCAGACTGTTCAAGGAGGTCCATGACACCCAAATGGTTAAGAACTGCCTAACTAAATAGAAGGATTTGTTCTGTAAAGCTTGGACTCAGTCAGAGGGCTGCACTTGAGGACCTGGAGGGCCACATGTGGCCTCTGGCCGAAGGTTCCCCACCCATGAAAGCTTACACATCCTCAAGGACCCAATTCTCCATCTTTTTTTCTCTTTCTCTGTCTCTCTTCTCCTCTGTAACATTTAGTCTATATTGCCAAATTTGGGACTAGATAATATGCAGGCATATCCCACCTAAGTTATTAATTGGGTCCGTGAAAAGGAAGCTTTAGGTTAAATGGTACTAATAGAGGTCATCTAATTCCCCAGGAACAAAGTTGAGCAGAAAAGAAACTGAAGACTTTGTGGGTGGAGGAGAAGCAGGGAACTTGAGGAATTTGGTTTACTGTTTTCATGACGTTGGTAACTATACTTTGGTTTTAGTGTGCCTGCACTGTCCTTTAAAGTTTGCTACATTCATTCTTGGAACAGTGGATAGAGTGTTAGATTTGGATCTCCAAGTTACTGGAAGGAGATGTAAGTACACAAAGGCCATATGACCTTAGGCAAGGTGGCTCAGCCTCACTGGGCCTCAGTTTTTTTCTTTTCTTTTCTTTAAATAAGGAGACTTGGCCTACCATTCCTTCCAGCTCTAAAACTAACTAAATAATGAATAAAGTATGAATACTCACTGAGTATACTCTTTGATAATCCTGTGTCAGGTACTCTGGGAGACTTAAAAAGACCTATAAGACAAGAAACTTGTAGTCTATCAGAAAGGTGGTGTTTAGAGGAATATCTCTGCTGTAAGAAAGACTGTTTTTAAGTTCGCGAGGGATAGATGGCTGTAGGAACTATGAGGTAGAGGAAAAAGTCCTGCATTTGGAGTAAGTGAATGTGGATTCTAGGCCTGGCATATCCACGAGGTAGACAGATTGACTTTAAGCCAAGCCTTTCACCTTTCTGTGATAACTTGGATTCCTTCTCTTATGGGATAATTATAAAGCTCAGTTGAGGGAACTTGAGTGAAAGCCCTTTGGAATACTTATAAAGTGCTATGCTATACAGATGTGAGAGTAATGTTGGTGGGAGACCTTTCTTGTCCTGCACTGCCCTTCCCTACTCTCCCCTCCCCCCACCTTTAATCCTCAAAAGCCTCTACTTTATGAGTTAACAATGGGCATTACACGTCACAGAATGTTCAAGTTGGTTTGGACCCAAGATCATTTAGTCTGGACCTTTTATTTTGCAGGTGATAGAAGTAAAGATTTAGATCTGAAAGGAAACTTATGAGACCATCTGGTTCAGCCCTTTCATTTTATAAATAAGCAAACCGAGGCCCAAAGAGATTCTGTGACTTGTCTCAGGTCACATGTTTAGCAAGTAGCAGGGTTGGGAATTGACCCAAATCTTGACTCCATCCACTGAGGCCCAGGGGACAGGCATTGACTGGCTTAATGAGACAGAATCAGGGCTCAGACTTGCTCCCTACCTCCCAGTCTAGTGTGATTTCTGATACTAATTTGCTAGCCCTGTCCTGCCAGGATTGGGGTGGGGTGGGAACTACAAGTCTTCATTTAGGGGTCTTTGAGCTCTTTTCTCAGTAGAGCTTTCTACTGGGAGTGGTGGTGAATAAAAGAGGGAAAATAAAAGTGTAGGGCAAGCATTGATGACCTTGCCTTTGATTTTCATTCTTTTCAGGTAACAGTCTGGGACCATGTCGAAGGACCTCCAGGATGTGGACCTTGCAGAGGTCAAGCCTCTGGTGGAGAGAGAAGAGGTGAGTTGCAAATGGTGACTTTTCATCTTGACCTCCGGGCTCAGCCTCAAGAGGTCACAAGTCCTAAACTCTTAGCTCTTGGAAAGCTCAAAAGATGTCCTGTATGAGAAATTGTAAAGTGATTAAGTTTTAGAAACGGGAGTCCAGAGAACACAATTATCCTTTATTTTGGGAGTAAAAATTTTTTAAAAACATTAGTGAATTCTTTAGAAAAGATACTTAGAAGCTGCCATTTTTAATCTAGCAGATTCTAGCAGTAAGTAATTTTTTTTTATTAATTAACTTTCCTTGTTGCCCAGCAGTCTAGTTAGAGGACAGTGCTAATTAATAATGACCTGTATAACTGACAGTATTATAGAATTGCTGAGCTCAGATATAGTCTAGCTCCTGCCCAAAGCATTAATTACCACTGCAACATCCCCAATAATAATTGATCGTCCAGCTTTACCTTACTTTGCTATGAAAGTTGGACAATTTTGGGGAATTTTCCTTCTGTTGAATGGATATCTGCCCATTGGTTTCTACTCATTGGTTCTGATTCTGTCATTCTGGGGCCAAGGAGAACAAGTCTGATCCTCCTTCCATGTGACAGCCTTTTGGATATTTGGAAACAGCCTCATGCCCTCCCAAAGAGATCTTCTTTCACCAGACTGAACACCCTGAGTTTCTTTAGCCCATCCTCATGAGACATAGTCTCTAGACCCCTCACCATCCTAGTTACTGTCCTCTGGGAAACCAGTTTATCAGTGTCGCTTCCAGAGATTATTTCCATAGTTGATGTTTTAAACTCAAGTTCAGGGTTTTGTATTGATTTGTACTGTATTGATTTATACCGCGCCCACCCCACCCTGGCCCAACTAAATTTTCTCTGGCTAGTTTCAGCCCATCTTGCAGCGTCCTGGGGTACCTCTCTCCTAAGTTTGCCTACTCATCAGAATAGGCCATCTCTGCTGAAACCAATTATTCCTTCGGCCCCAGGGCCAAAGACAGTACCTCTGACCCCAGCTTAGTGTCTTACAGTCACATGCCACTAATCAGTCACAAGAGGTACAGCGTATGGATGGTTCAGAGCAACTCCAGCACTGTTATTGAATACACAGCTTATTAAACATACAGCGCTCTACCATCCGTGAAGGGTCTCGTACTACAATTCAAAGTGAGTCTTGGAGATTAAATAAATAAACCTGATCCTCTTGCCCAGTTTTGGTTACATTTGTACTTTGCTGGGCTGGGAGAGATTGATTTTCTCCTTAATGGTTTAAAGGGAAGCTGCTTCCTCAGATTTGTCACAGTAATTCATTGCTGTGCTTAATATGGTACCTATCCCCCTCCTCCTACATCGTGCCCATTCCCCAACATTCTAAAAGGGGTGCCTGCCTGCCTTTTAGGCAAGGGCTTGGTCCGTTCCTTCACATCAAAAAGCAATGACTTGAAGGTAGTAACTTCTTCCACTAACCTGACCTTACCTCCCAAACTCTGCTTTTTGCTGAGGGTGCTGTTGAACTATTTTCATTTTTGATAGAAGCAGAATTTTTTTTAAAAAATCCATTTTTCTTGCCCCTGGCCCTCCCAACTGGGGCCTCATTCCCAGAGTGTGGATTTTGTTATTTCCTCCAAACAGTCACTTCCCTCGGGGCTTTGTAAAAAATCATTCTGCAGAGAAACAGCTCTGCTGATGTGGTATGAGGGCCTCTTTTCAAAGTCGTATGGATTTTGAAACCATAGCTGAGCAGTTAGCAGAGTGTATGACATCACTTAGCCATGATCACACGAGATAATATTAGTAAGAAAAGAAAAGAAAGGAAAAAAAAAAGGAATCAGCACAGTGCCTGGCACATAGTATGTGCTGTATACCCGCTCGTCTTTCCTGGTGCCTGAAAATAGTACATCACATGGGGCACCGCTGAAGTTTTGAGATGATTCCAGGAATGGCTAGGCTCCCTACTGGAGCAGTGGTAGAAGTCCCTGACTGCTTCATCTGCTCAGTAGAACGTTTGTGCCGCCAGAACCTTCCTCCGTTCAGAAGGAGGTAGAGAGGAGGATTCACACTGTATCAAACAGCATCAGATCCAGTCACCCTTTGGGCTGGCACTTTGTTCCCTCTTCGTTCGGGCATGGGAGGAGCAATGACTCTGTACCAGTCATATCTTTATTAACCCAACATATTAATTGGTGGGGTCTTTACATAGCCCCTCGCCTTCTGGATGTGACTCCCTGGTAGTGCTTGTAGCCTGACTGTGTCTGACACTTTAACAGTTTATTTTTCTGGTTTGACCTGTGGAAGGGGACCAGTGAATGACATTTTTTAAACCAAAGCCAGGCCCCAGCTCCCGTCTGAATTTAATGGGTAGATGTTCTCCCAGAAGGTGTAGTAGGAGAGCTTTTGAGGGCACAGCTATTCCAGACTAGACCCTTTTCCCTCTGGGAGGTTCAGACTTCAGGCCTGTGCATTTCCCCACTCGTTTGGTATGTTTGGAGGAAAGTGACCGTGACTATCTCTTTACAGACCATCACTGGCCTCCTGCAAGAGTTCGACGTTCAGGCAAGTAGAAATGTTTTTTTTTTCCTTCCTCTCTTCTCTTTCTTTCCTTTTCTTTGAAATTGAACACTATTCAAAACCCCTGCAGGGAGGGGAGAAACCAAACTAAGCTTAAGATCCCCACCCAGGGCAGAAAAAGTGTCGAATGTTCTGAATATTGTCCAAAGAAATTGAAGTCCTTCCCCAGCTCTTGAAGCAAAATGGGGAAACATCCTAAGTCAGAGATACTTTGGCGTTTGGGGGAAAAGGCAGAGAGAAGCTTCAGTTCAGGGCTTTTCTCCAGCAAGGGAACATGGCTGGAGGGGTCTTCAGTCTTGGCGGCCCCACAGGAAAGTGAAACATCTTTCTGCGTTTGTTTGGCCCGGAGTGGAAATCTGTCCATTTCCCCCTCTGTGCTGGGATGGTTGTCCAGGAACAAGCTGTGTGCAGAATTGGCTTTCCTTCCCCTATTTATGGGAACAGGGCAGTAGAAAGTGATGGATGGGCAGGGTCAGTTGAAGAAAAGACACAGATTTCAGATTTTTTGTTCATTCACTCAGCACATACTTACTTTCCACGCACATGATGTTGTGCTTGGCTCTAGGGAGAATGGATGGATAAGTAGATGGATAGAGCCATGTGACATGTTTTGCTAGAAATGCACGTAAGAGCAAGCAAGACAGACAATCCCTTCCATGGAGTTTTCAGAAGCTCTAGCTGTTTCTCCAGGCCGCAAGCACGATTGGAAGGATTGAAAGCAGCCTAAAATTCAGCAGCACTCAATCTTTTGTAACTGTGGTTGGCCAGTGCTTTATTTAGCCTGACCTTTCCTCTTGGGGCCTCAGCTTTACCCCTCTGGCAAAGGGGCTTGGACTAGTAGCCTGGTGCATCTTCAAGCTCTCCTAGTTCTGAAAAGTCTTGAGTCATTTTCACATTTGTTATTGTTGAGTTCTTCCTGGCCCCATGACCTAGAACTTTGTTGTTGTTAAATTGTTTTAGTTGTATATGAGTCTTTTTGCAGTTTTCTTGGCAGAGATACTGGAGTGGTCTGCCATTTCCTTCTCCAGCTCGTTTTACAGATGAGGAAACTGAGGCAAACAGGGTGAAGTGACTTGCCCAGGGTCACACAGCTAGGAAGTGTCTGAAGCTAGATTTGAACTCGGGAAGATGAGTTTTCCTGACTGCAGATCTGGCATTCTATCCACTGCACCACCTAGCTGCCTTCTCATTTACACATTACCGAGGCCAAAAAGAGGCCATTGATCCCTAATGAAAGCCACTTGAAAACTGTTAATTATATGCTTTCTTGCTGTAAGGTTGTACTCTTACTGAAATAAGGGGATGCTGAGGCTTTGAGCACTGATGGTGAGGGTAATGACCACCCTGCATCACAGATGATCTGGAGGGTTCTCATGGTATCTATAATCTTGCCCTAGCTGGCAAGGAAAGCCTATGACATATCTCCCCTACTTCACAAGTAAGGACTTGGAGAGATTAAATGTTGGGAAGGCAGTTATGCAGTCAGACTTTCCCAGCCTCTGTCTTCATATGTTAATCAGCAAACATTTATTAAATGCCTACTATGTTCTGTAAATAGAATAATAGTGTGGGGTGTTCTCCTCATACCCAGCACTGGGCTATTTATAATAACTAATTACAAATAACAAATATTGATTCATTGCTTACTATATGCTAAGCGCTTTACAATTATCAACTCAATTATTCCTTACAACTTTGGGAGGTAGGCACTGTTATTATCCCCATCTAAAGATGAAGAAACAGATTAATGACCAGATTTGAACTCAGGTCTTCATGACTGCAGTTCCTGCTCTCTATCCACTGTGCCGCCTAGCTGCCCTGAGAGAGAAGGTACAGCCTTGCATTGATAGGAGTTTGCTCACCTGGGAGTTCCCTTTAATCAATAAAATCACTTTTTCAAATCTGGTCTCAGATGCTGCTGGCTGTGTGATCCTGGGCAAGCTGCTTAACTAACTCTGCCTCAGTTTCCTCATCTGTAAAACAGGGATTCAGGGTGTTAGATGGTACAGTGGAGTCAGGAAAAAACCGACTTTTAATAATAATTAAATATATTATAAATTCAGTCAGCAGCTTTCAAACCTACCTTGCTTGACTGCTTCTTTCTGGTTTCCTTTTCTCTTCATTTAAAAAAAGTGACTCAAGGACTATCTTTTTAAGAAAGATGACTCAGTGAGTTTTTTTGCTTCCCTGTCATGCTCTCCTTACCTGTTGCTCCTTCCCACTAGGGCAAAATAAATAAAAACAAAGCCCTTGGAAGAAATTAGCTGTGCCTGAAAATCTGTCTTTGTGTCTTAAGGCCATCACCCCTCTGTCAAGAGGAGGGCAGCAGCCCTGAACTGTGGTGTATAACACAAAGGATATTCTCTGGAATAGCTAGGTCAAAATAGGTGACTCTCCTTGCCTTGAACTTGATAGTGGACACCGGCCCATCAGTCATGGGGAACAGCTTGTAGGGCAGTGGGATGGTTGTCTGTGATCTTTCTTCCACTAAGGACCCTTGGATGGCCTTGAAAGAATGCAGTCACACCTGAAGTGCAAGGCTGTAAGCTTATTCAGATTTAGAACACTTTCCCTGGGTGGTAGGTGGTGATGGTGGGGAGAGAATCACTGGTATCAGGAAGAGTGGAGGATGAGGTCTACCAGTGTTCAGCCTGGTTTCAGTTTGTCTCTTCTCCTCACCCCCTCCGTTTCAGAACTTTAAGTAACCAGGAGACCTCCCAGTGGCCCTAGAGGGAGGGGGGGAGGATGCCTGGGCAAACTACAGAGATCGATGGACTTCTCAACCCTTGACTGAGACTCATATGAAGGAAGGAAGTAGTTTCTTGTCTCTTTTCCCTGGAACAGTGAGGTTTCATATTATCTATCTTTTTGTGCTTCCTTTCCATCATACCCAGGGCAGCACAGCCCCATCCGTAGTTCCTTGTTCTGCTTTTTGCCAGTTCTGATTAAATCAGTCTATCAGCTGAACATCTACTTACAGGAACTCATTTTGAATAGGAATGCCAGGAAGGTCCTTAGGGAGCTTCTAATGCCACCCCTACCCCCCCATTTTATAGATGAGGAAATGGAGGCCCAAAGAGGGGGAGGAGGAGAACTTGGGTGGGGGCATGGGGGTGCTGGGCCCTGGATTCAGGCAGAAGATTTCAGAGCCAGTCTTGTCATGGGCACTTAGTGACCATGTGAACTTAGACAGTTAATAAGGTCGTAGATTTAGAGCCAGAAGGGATCTTAGGTATTCTAGAACAGTGCCTTCACTTTTTTTTCAGATGAAGAAACTGAGGCTAAATGTCTTGCCCAAATACGCACCGGTAATATATGGCAAAGAAAATCCAGGCCTTTTCTCACGCTGCTTCCCTCAAGATCAATGGCACAAATATTTAGTGCCTGAATTATTAGGGCTTGAATTTGCTAACTCCCTTTCCAGTGCCTTAAAAGTAAGTTGTATTGCCTAGTCTTAGTCTTTTTTATACGTTTGTTTGCCAACTGACCCCGTTTCCTTGTTCCCAATGAGAACCCTTCCTTGTAACAAGTATAGTTGAACAAATTAGCACATTGGCTGTGTCTGGAAACATTGCCCCATTCCTCACCCGTAGTTTACTGCCTGTCTGAGGCAGAGGTGAAACTTCCATCTACAGCCCTCAGTAGTCGTGGTTGGTCTCCAGGGCCTCTTCATAGGTGGCAGCCTGTAGTGTCTGGGATGCTAGGATTTAGGCTGGGAAAGATCCTTTGGGGATCATCTAATCTACCCCCCTCATTTTACAGACACAGTGAGAAGGAAGTCTAAAAATAATGAAGGAAATTAAATTTATCAAATGCCTGCTTAGGTGCCACCTACTGTGCTAAGTACTTTACTGATCACATTTCATTTTAAGCTTAAGAGAATCCTGTGAGGTAGGTGCTGTTATCCTCATTTTACAGTTAAGGAAACTGAGGCAGACTGAAGCAAAGTGACCCATCCAGGGTCACACAGAGCTAGTGAGTGTCTGAGGCCAGATTTGAAGTCCCAGCTCTATCCACTGCACCACCTTCCCATGATCATGTAGCTTGTAAGTGTGTCAGAGGTGAGATTTAAACTAGGGTCTCTCGTCTTTCCAAGTCCAGCCCTGAGCTGATGAGGGTGAAGATGGTAGAGCTTCTTTTGTCTATCTGTTCAGCCAACTCTCTTCTTTCCCAGCCTATCTTCTGCACATCTTGCCTATCTTCCTTTCCCCCCTCCCCCTTAAAGAAAAGTCGCTGAACTTTGAGAAAAAATTGGTCGTTAAGGTGGCCCCTGCATCAGTGGGTTTGATTGTGGTCATTAGACTTGGATGGCAGGTACAGTGAGAGTTGTTCCAGCCCTGCCCAGAACATTTATGTGATCGAATCCTTCAGCCAAGCAGAACTGCGAATTGGCTTGGCGTGAAGGACCCGGGACCTTGTGTTCAGCAGCAGGGCTTGGCATAGCCTTGGGTTGTTAAGGAGTTCTCACAGCCTGTGGTCCTTATTGACTTCAACCCCGTGAGTCATCCTTCACTCTGTCTCTGACGATCTCTCTTGTGTGGCTTTTGTCAGCCCCTTATACTCCTGCATTCCCTGTCCATCAGCTTTGCTGCTCTGAGGAGCCAAGAAGCCTACTTGATCAACCTTCACTTCCTCCCACCCACTCTTCTAAACACCTTCTGTTAGGCAGATAAACAGGAGATGCTTCCAGCTAACATTATATGCCAGACACTGTGCTAAGTTAAGTACTTTACAATTATAATTCCATTTGTTCCTCACAACAACCCTGGAAGGTAGGTGCTTATTATTATCCTCACTTTACAGATGAGGAAACTGAGGCAAGTGTAGGTTGCTCCGCGTCACACAGCTACTAAGTGGGAAACAGAGCTTTAAGCTTAGGTCTCTTAACTCTGAACCCAGTATTCTTTCCACTGTAATACTATGTAGCCTGTCTGGACACTTAAAATTTTTCCATAGCTTGTCTCTAAAATAAAAGGAATTTAAAA